GGCTGAGGCTAATGGTAGCATTGTACCTCTAGTGCATCTGGAATGAACTAATTTAGTTGGAGTAGGGAGAGTTACACTTTTGATCTCCCTGATCTATCTTGCTTGGTTTGTTTTCAGATTTATCCTGATTGTATCCAGAGGAAGCCTTTGTTTTCAGTTGTATGGTCCTGAATGTGGTAACATGGTGAAACGTACAATCAAATATCATGTAATCAAATCTCAGGAATACATCAAACCAGAATTGTAAGATTATGTGTTCCTGTATGACCTGTACATGTTGTATTCCTACATTTTGGAAACTGAGCTGAAAGCACTTTAACATTTTAAACCATCTAAGTGGATATTTGACATGAGAAACAGAAATGAACATAATTCACTCACTGCACAAGTTACTTAATTTCAAATTACCCTATGTTAGAAATATGCAGCTTTGTTCCATGTTGTGCGCTAAAGTTACTTTATAAATCCTTAAAATGACTGGAAATAATCTTTAAGAATAGGATCTTGCTATCTTACTCATGTGGTTTCAGTTCAAATTGCCACAGACTGACTTGTTCAGGGAGTGATGGATAGATGAAGCTGATCTCTCCCTCAGCTTCTTGTGTTGGAGATTACCTCATTTAGCTGCCAATCAAAGCTACCATTCTGTATGAGAAACATCCCTTTTAGTGTGGAAGCTAAAGCAACTGTATTTTCTGTTTAGCTATGCAACCACCCCACACCTCCCATACTAGGTTTACTAAATTAACATATTTCTAACAGTGAAAGTGGGAATGTGTTCAATAGTATTTGTTATCTCCAAAATTAATGAAAGTACACACATCTAAGATGGTCCATTGGGCTGGTATTTCAACTTGTTTGTTTTAAACATACCAGAAAACTTGGATCTTTCTCCAGGAATTGCTGCCTTATGAGCCAATTTTAACTTCATAGCAGCAACATCACATAAATTAAAATCCATTACAAGCCAAGTAGGTAAATAGCTCCATTAAACTAGGGTTCTAGTGGAATGATTACAGCCTTTAAATATTAACACTGACACAGTCCGTTATGTTTAGTTTCTCATGACCTCATCTCTTTAGGTAAATGTTACAGCTGTGTGGTCTAAGTAGCCAAGTTTTTGGGTTTTATCCTCGAGTTAGGGTTGCTTTTTGAAAAAAAATCTAGCATGTAAACAGAGTGGTTTTTGGACTTGTCCAAGATTTCCCTAGGTCATCTCTCAATCTAATTTGGTTTAGGAGGTTTGTGTTAACTTTTTATGAAATGCTCCAAATGTCTGAATAGTATTAGCAATCACACTATAGGGAGAATTTTGATAGGATGCAACACTGACTAGGATGCTGCCTAATAAGAAGTACAAATAAAAAGAGACTGAAAAATTGTGCATTTATTTGTTGTAACAATGAGCCAATGCAACGCACGTTTTTTTAAATTCTGAAAAGATTGATAGGCTAGCTAGCAGACTATTTCTAGTGCTTCCAGACCCAGAGTTTAAGGGATTCAATTTAATTTAGGATGTTTGTGTACTCCCTTTTTATCTAAGTCTCATTATTCTAAGTCTTCTTACCAAAACAGAGATTGGGAACAGACAGATAAAGGTGCTTTTGAGTTGCAAAGTTTTTGTTTTATCTTTGTGCATTCATGGGATGTGAGTGTTGCTATTGAGGCCAGCATTTGTTGTCCATTCCTAATTAAGAATCAGCAATAATGCTGTGGATCTGGCATCACAAATATGTCAGACCGTGTAAAAATGGTGGATCTCTTCACTAAAGTACAACAACGAATTAGATGGGTTTTACAATAATCTGTGTCAGTTTCATAGTCATTATTAGTGAACATTTCATTAATTGACTTTATATTCCACAAGCTGCCAGGTTGGATTATGAGTCTAGCAGCAGTAGTACCACATCACTGTCTCCCTTGGATTTCACTTACATTTGTTAATGAAAAATAAAATCAACTCAGGTGTTTCATTATTGAGCTCTTCTTTTTTGACTTCCATACTCACTTCTTCAGGCAGGTCTTCCCCTCTCCATAGACCCTGTCTCCAATACCTTCCCTCCACTTGCTCGCCTTCCTCTGACCTCATACCTGCCCTTGATCTCTTCATTGAGAACTGCCAGTGTGACATCAGCCTTAATTTCTGTGCTCCCCTCCCTTACCCACACTAACCTGTCAGCATTTGAACTTGCTGCAGGGTTTAACCCTGACTGACATTAAACCAACTGATAAGGAGGGTGCTGCTGCTGTCATCTGATGTACTAACCTCTGTCTTTCAGAAGCTGAGTGCCAACTTTTGGACACTTCTTTCTGTCTCTCTTTGACCATATCTTACCACTGAACATCGAGGTTGTTTCTAGGACAAAATACCTGAAGGTCATCCATCCACAGCTTCCCACGTCATAAACCCCCAATTCTGCACAATCTACTTCTACATTTTTCCCAAAATCAACAAATAGGCAGACCCATCATTTTAGCCTGTCCTGTCCCACCAAACCTATTTCTTTCCATCTTGACTTTGTTCCTTCTCCAGTTTCCCCAAGTACGTTTATGATTCTTCTGATGCTTTACGTCCGTTTCTAATTTCCTGGCCTTAACTACCACCTCTTCACTATGGATGTGCAGTTGCTGTACACCTCCATTCCATAGGCTGGGCTGAGGGCTATCCACTTCTTTCTTGAACAGAGACTTGAACAGTTCCTGTCCAACACCTCCCTTGTTTACCTGACTGAGCTTGTTCTCATTTTGAACAATTTATCCTGTAACACATCTCATTTTCTCCAAGCAAGAGGTGTTGCCATGGATATCTACATGGGTTCTCATTATGCCTGCCTCTTGGTTGAGACGTGAGGAACATTCCTTCTTCCAGTCCAATTTGGGCCCCTTCCCGCAATTATTTCTCCGACAAATTGATGACTGTATTGATTCTACTTTCTGTTCTCATCCAGAACTGAAAATTGCTTCCAATTTCCATTCTCTTCTCATCTTCTTCAGATCGATCTCTGACTCTTCCCTTTCTTGACTTATGTGTTTCTAAACTGAGAATAGGTTGTCTACCAATATCCACTACAAGCCCAACAATTTCCAGTTACCTCAATTACGCTTCTTCGCACTCTGCCTCCTTTAAGGACTCGTTTCCATTCTCCTAGTTTCTCATCACTACCATCTGGTTCAATGATGCTAACTTCTGAAAGGGTGCTTCCAACATGCCTGCCTTTTTCCTTAACCAAAGATTTCCTCAGCATTGTGGTTCACAGGGACCTCCGCTTGTCTTAGATTTCCAACACATCTGCCTTCCCCTCCCTCCCAAATCAGTGATAGGGTTCCTCTTGTGTTTCTTTTTCACCCCACCAGCCTCCATGTTCAAAAAAAATTCTCCACTGCATCCAGTAGGATGCCAACACCCATACATCTTCCCCCTCCCTGTTAGAACTTGGCATGCACTGATTCTTTGCACAATTCCATGACTCCCAACACCAACTCACTCTTGTTGCACCTTTCCAATCACAGAAGTTGTAGCACTTGCCCCTTTGCGTCTTCCCTCCTCACTGGCCAAGACACTAAATGCACTTTTCAGGTGAAACCGCAATTTACATTTTTTTAAAAAAGTGTAGTGTGCTGTATTCATTGCACACAATGTGGTCTCCTCTACAATGGCAAAAGGAAATGCAACCTGGGTGACCACTTTGCTAAAAACCTCTACTCAGTCGTTAAGCATGACCCCGCTCTTCTGGCTGCTTGCCATTGTAGTACACCAGTTTGGTTTTGTGCCAACATCACTGTCCTGGGCTTGCTAGTCCAATGAAACCCAACACAAGATGGAAGAACAGCATTTCATTTTCAGTTTAACAATTTATAGCCTGCAGGGCTCAACGTTGAGTTCGACAACTTCAGACCACGAACTCTGTCCTCCATTTTGATTACTTGCTGTCCCCCACCCACCAACCACAATATCTTACATCAGCTTGCTCTCAGAATAGGTGACTTTTTTTGATATTTAATACTTACTATTCACATCTACTCTTAATGTGCATCTCTTCCATACTACCATAAGCACTCCCTTGACCTTTCTTTCAAGGGGTAAGGACTGTGTTTTGTTACATTTTTTTAAATGTAGACTGAAATGTGAAACATTTGTTTTCAAACCAGGATTTCAGACACTCAAGAGTGTCTGATAGGTTACTTATTTTTGAACCAAACATCCATAGTAGGCATCCTGTAGACTGCATTTGAACAAGCAGCAATTGAGTTGCAGATGATTTGGAGCTGAGAACTGAAATGCAGCTTCTGCTGGCATTGAGAGGTTGATTGGTCTATGGACTAGTGACCAATTCGTGATGACAGAGACCTTTTGCCTGCCAACAACTGTGAGATTAGTTCTCGGGTAAATGAACAGCTTGGAGCTGGGAACAAGGTGTGGAGAGAGAAATGTTCAGATCTTCCCCAGCTCAGGAGTCGTCTCTCAGTTCTCTGCAGCCAATGCTCACTGAAAACCTGATGAAAACCAGGTCATCTTTCCTGCAACAGTAGTAAGCTGTGACTTTTAACTGATTAGTCAGAGACTTTTATAAAGGAATCAGTCACCTTGTGTCTCTTATCAACCAGTGGAAGCACCTGGAGAAAGCTGACTGAAGCAACGTACTGGCTTGCAGAAGAATCCTAGAACCCGGGAGCAAAGACTACTGAATTGTCTTTCTAGTTTTTTCTCCTCTGCCCAATAGCTAGCTTTCCCTGCCTGCTGATCTGTGTGGAAGGGGAGTTGCTAAGAGTATTCAAGTTCTAATTAGTAGTATTATATGCAGATGGTTTATAACTCTTACCCACAGCTAGAGTCTGATTACTTGTAACAAATAGTAATTCTTGTTCAGTACAGAATCTGTGTTTGAAAATCAGATAAATTGGGACCTTTGAGTATTTCTAGTATTTTCTCTGCTTTGTTTCAAATTTCTACATTTACAGTATTTTGCTTTTACAATAACAGAAATTTTCTTATGTTTTAGAGATGAAGAAGGAATCTATTCAAAGTGTGATTTTGCTTAAGTGTTTTGTTTTTAACCTTGGAACAATCAAGATAGTTGAGGGGAAATTCAGCCGCACCGATCCAATGGTAAACCTCATTTTGGCGTTCTTTATGAGCACTGATGAAATTGAAAAAGCTAATCCTTTCTCAGTATTTGCTTTCAATGAATTATCCATGTAGTTCAATACGTCAATTGTGACAGGATTTTCTAGATAATAGGAGATTGACAAAAATGGATTTCTGTTTCGACTGTTTAATTGGCTATTCTATAATTTACAAGTTTTAGGGATTAAACCATATCATTGTTTAAAAAGAATGAGATTTGTTAATGTTGTGCATTTATCATGGAATCCTTTTCTTTATGGCAGTTAATAACAATCCTTTGCATCTTTGCAAATACTGCTTGATTTAAGACATTTTCAGGCAGATCATGCCTGAATTCCAAGCAAGGTTTCTAAGCTCTCAGTTGTATCTTAGGAGGAGTTATTTAACATAATTAAGCACTATGGATTTTAAGACATGTAATTTACATTGTCAAAGCATTTGCAGGATACAGGCTGTTTGTGGGTGATGATGATTTACTTCAAACTCTTAATTTCTTTGTCAAGGTTATGTCACTGATCGAAAGCAATGTGCAACACACTTCTGAAGTTCCAAAAGAAATTCAGTACTGAAGCACAATGTTCACGTGCTGTTTTGTTATTTGTTCCCTTGATTAGAAAAAAAAATCCAAATTCTGTGTTGAGCAAATTAAAAGAGGGAAATGCTTTAGAAGTGTGAACCAAAACTATCACAATGTTCAGATTGACTGTTATAGTTTCCAGAGTTTGAGCAATTAGCCACAATATCTATGAATATTTCTTTAAGTTAGAATAATATATGCATTACAGTTTTGGGCAGATGCATTTAAAGGAATAGCTGAATACATTGAACATGCAAAAAACTTTTGATTTTTAATTGTGATTCATGAAATAGGAAATACTGTTTTAAGAATTTCAGATTCCTTTAGCTGAAGTGAATGATACAAATTAATTACTGTGATTGACAAGAAAGATCTGTAGAAAATAAATATATTGAAGCAATTATTAGCCAGCTTTAGGGCCCTCGGCACGCATGATCCAGTGCTAAAACTAACATCATGGCGACAATTATCAATGTTGTGGTCTTCCTCGGTTTGATGCACTAGTGATTACTGTGATAGCTCTAGCCTGAGTGTAATTAGTTCGTTACCCTAATGGATTGAAATTAATGTTAATTATGATTGTGTTTGTTTGTGCATTCTAAATGGAGTATTTAGAATGAGTGTATTTATGGTCCAACTCACATTTTGAAATGAAATATGTATTTTTGAGTTAAAGAATAATTATTTAATGTGATGTGTATTTTATGATCACTGTCAGTGTAGCTTTGTAATTTGCTGACAAATTACTTGCAACATTGAGTGCAGCTCCCATTTAATGCTTTGCTTGTAATATACTCAATTTGGGTAAATCAAGGCAGTCTCGTTTGTTAGTTAATACTGAGATTCAAACTCATTACTATGTGCTTGGTAATTAGATTTCTACATGCTAAGTTCGTTGAACTAATGATAATTAATGAGAAACCCAATCAATGGACACATTTGTCCATATTCTTTGAATAGTTGAGATTGTGCACAAAGCAAAATTACGTGCTATTTACCCTAAAGCTAGGCCATACTATTTTACAAATATTGCCGTTAAGCTGTTGTATGTATACATCTTTTCACTCACCTTATATTTGGTACCAGGTTATTCATTTGACAATATTGCATTTCCAAAAGCCATCTGTGAAACTTATGAATAAGACAGTTTTGTATGCACTCGTGTGTGTTTTTTAGACCAGAGAAGGAAGTTTTCCAGTTACTCCTCTTCACTGACATCTTTCTAAATTACCACTGCCTTTTCAAGCTAGAACTTGTCTGCGCCTATTGGGTAGGATCTTCTGTATTGAAGACTAGTGTAAGTTCAGTACACTAATGAGATGTCCATGTTTTCATTTATCACTACATAGGACATTCAAAGTCATACTGATTCTTAAACTTAATCATACTACACACATAAGTACGTATTTGATTTGTTCAGGTCTTCGTGACCAAAAATTGGCATTCATCTTTTTATCTACATTTTCAATTTCTTATTTTCATGTCAAGTTGGGTTACTAGTTTGATTTTTACCTAAACAGTATAGTAGACTCTGCTGGATGAAAGCAAATTTGGTTGGCACAACACGACAAATTCAAATGAGGGGCAACAGTAAATTTTATAACACACCACGCTTTCAGCTAGCTGTGCTGAAGGGTTTAGTAGTTTTTGTGAAACTGTTGCTAAAATGAAAATTAAGATGTTGGAGATATACAGAAAGTCTGTCAACACTTAAGAGAAAATAATAAAAACACAAAATGTAAGCACTGGAGTAGGCAATATGAATTGTTGAGCTAGCTCCTTTCCAGCACGTTCCCAGTATCACTGAGATAACAAAAATCCACCTATTCCGGTCTTAAATATTTATAGCAAACATAGAAGCATGAAGAGGCCATTCAGCCCTTCGAGCCTGATTGACCATTCAATGATATCATGGCTGATCTGTGGCCTAACTTCATAAACCTGCCTTTGACCCATATTCCTTTCTTTCTTTTGCTTAGCAAAAGTTTATCTATCTCAGGTTTAAAATTAACAACTGACCCAACATCCACAGCTTAAAAAAAAATGAAAAAACTGCGGATGCTGTAAATTAGGAACAAAAACAAAGTTGCTGGAAAAGCCCAGCAGGCCTGGCAGCATCTGTGAAGGAAAAAACAGAGTTAACGTTTCGAGTCCAATGACCCTTCTTCAGACCTTCTTTATTCCAGAGAAAATAGGTCTAATTTATATGATCTGTCCTCGTAACCTAACCCTGAAGTACAAGTGTCATCCTTGTAAACGTATGTTTGTACTCTCTCCAAAGCCAATATCTCCTTCCTAAGAAGCTTCTACTGGTATAGAGTTCCAAAGATTCAGAACACTTTGAATGAAGTAATTTCCCCTCATTTCAGTCCGAAATAACCGGCCCCATATTTGGATACACTTGTCCCAGTGTTTCAGGTCTCCAGACCAGCAGAAATAGTCACTCAGCATATAACTATAAGCAGAATTGAACATGTTTCAGTAAGCTAAACTTCAGAGAAGATAGGTCCAATTTACTCAGCTGCTTACCATAGGGACAACCCTTTTATCTTCAGGGCAAATCTTTTTAAGTCTTATTCCATGGCAAGTGGACATTGGTGGCTGGTGTTTGGTGCCATCTCTGATTATCCTTAAAGTGAAGGGCTTTCATGGCCACTTTCACAGGGCAGTTAAGAGTTGACTACATTGCTGTGGGTCTGGAATTGCATGTAAGCCAGAAAAGATAAAGATAGCAAATTTCTTTCTCTGAAAGTTGTAGTGAACCCGAGGAGTATTAAGCAACTTTCTCTTTAAGCTGTGTGACTGTGCATGTGCCCAGCTGCTGTGATGTTTAGCATATAGCATTCCAGTTTCAGAAGTCTCTGCCATCCATGGGCCTTGAAGCCATGCACAGCTGGTGAGAAAATTAGATGGAATGTTGGTACTATTTCATCTAAACCCTGTACAATTCTAGCAAAACTTCCTTATTCTTGGATTCCAGTGTCCCTTCACAAAGCGAATTCATATCTGAAATACTGTGTGCAGTTTTTATCTCCATATTTAAGGAAAGACGTACTTGATTTGGATGTAGCGCAACAAAGTTTTACTCAATTGAGGGAGAAGATACTGATGTGATGGTGATGTCACTGGACTAGTAATCTAGAGGCTCAGACTAAAGCTGTGTGGACATGGGTTCATATCTCACCATGACAGCTGGTGAAAGTTGAATTGAATTAATAAATTTGGAATATAAAACTAGCCTCAGTACCTGTGTTCCCTTTAATTTGCCTTACTGTACCTGCCTCCTAACATCAATTTCCTTGTCAAAGTTCCTCTTAAGTCTGTCTGATGATTAACAGTTACATGTTTCACACCTTTCAATAAAAAAAATTCCATTTTCCTGCTCTTCTGAGCAAAGTGTATTCGTTCACACTTTTTGACATGATATTCCATGTTCTATCTAGTAACTCATTATTTCAACTTGTCTATATATCTTTGCAGCATCTCTGGGTCCACCTTATATTCATACGTTTGCAGCACAGATTGAGGCTATTCAGCCCATCATTTTCAAATTGGTCCATGAAGATGTGACTACATTAGTTCAATTTTCCAGCTTTTGGCTCATAGCATGCAAGTGAATACCTAAGTACTGCTTAAATATTACAAGAATTTCTGACTCAACTGCCATTTTAAGCAGTGATTTCCGAAGTCCCACTCCCTCTTAACGAGCAAGATTTCTTCTCAACTCTCCTCTGAGTCTTCTGCCTCTTAAATAATGGTTATTGACCCTCTACAAATGGGAAAACAAGTGCCTTCTTATACACCCTATCTTTGACCCTCAATATCTTATATCCCTTTATCAGGCACCCTGTTAACCTTCAAAGTGAAAACGAAAGCAAACCCAGTCTGTCCAATCTTTCTTCAAACCTCTGACCTTTCAGCCCAGGCAGCATCCGGTAAATTCACCTGCAATATAGTGCAATCAGATCCTTCCTATAATGTGGTGACCAGAGCTGCATGCAATAATTCAGTTGTGGCCTAACCTGCATTTTATACAGTTTCAGCATAATATTCCTTTGTATTCAGTGCCTCTGCTAATAAAGGCAGGTATTTTAAATGCCTTTTTGATCACCTTATAGACCTGTGGATATGCATACCAAGGTCCCTCTGATCATCATTACTTTCCAGGGTCCTACCATTCATTGTGTATTCCTTTGCTTTGTTATCCCTTCAAAAATGCATTTCCTCATATCTTGTAGTTTACGGCTATCCTCTTCACCGGCCTACCAACCTTTTTATAGTTAAGTCCAAATGATTTGTGTATGCTACAAAAAGCTACAACAGACATTCAGTCACAGAACCTTCCTCCACCATCTCTCTCTGCTTCCTATTTCTCAGCCAATTTGGGACCAACATGCTACATTTC